GGGGCGAAAGCGGCGGATACCGAAACAAACTAAACCAACAAACAGGCAAACACTAAAAAAAAAACGAAAAACAGGATACTTGGCGAATTCTTGATAAACTAAAAATGGTAAGGAACATTAGCGAGCCATGTCTTGCAGAGAAATGATATCATGGAGCTAGGGAACACGTTAGACCCTGTAGTGTGAGCATTTGGGAAATGATTGGCACGTTTGAAAACAACTACTTTTATGTCATACTATTGTTTTGTCTGTTAACAGAGTGCATTGAAGAAAAAAAACCGCCGTGCTCTTTCATGACCCTGATGAAATACAAAACCTCACATAAAAAATAGATCAAATACTATGCTCTCTAAGCTCAGCTTGTATATAGAAAAATACTCAGGACGCGCTTTCTAATTTAAGACAACTCCTACCGGGAACACCGCGTTGGTGGATTTGGAGTAAGAAAGATGGGGTTCTTTACAGTACTACTGTTCACCGTGGTTTATTTAAGTTCTTTTATCGATGCCCGTGATGTTTATCCTAGCCGTAAGTAACAATTTCGCGTCTTAATTCATATCTTCATACCACAATATTTTGTCATCATTGTTAATTTCATCTCCTGGAACTCACACACATAAATTGTACGAATACTTACTTGCGCGCGGGTCTGTAATCCGTGCTAGAATTTATGAGCACAGTCTTTGGTACAAAAATTGGTGCAACATTACACTTTAAATTACACTTTAAATTTCTTCAAATTTGAGTCTGGATAATTATCTTATCGAAAAAATGTAAAATAGGGCTTTTTATATTCTTTAGAATACTTCTGATTTCGCCCAAGTCTTTCACTCATCTGGTCATGAAAGACATGTAAGAAGCAATGTGGTGTAACAATAGGCGCAGACCCCTTTAGTGTTGTCTAAAAGATCTAGAACATGTTGAAAATAGTACATGCTAACATCGAACTCCTCAAATCCGACGTTTCGGCCTGTGTCGTTATTCCTTCTTGAATAGTCTTCCTCCTACAGTACGCCGAGGAATGAATAAGGCAGTTAAAAAAATTACTTGTCACTGTATTTTTTTCCGAAAAATTCAAACCATGAAAGCATGAAGGCATCATTATTGCCTTTCCTTACCTTGTTTTTTTGTTTGTTTGGTGCAGTTTTTGACGACGTTGTAACGCAAGGAACTCTTGTTTAACTCCTTAAGCCTCAGTAATAACCTGCATCTAATTTTTCTTTGCAGTAATACTGCTGAATCATTACTTAGGATCAAAAGAATAAAGACAATGATCTTCAACCTAATTAAGAAGCTTTGATTGTTGCACAAATTCTCCTTATCGGCACAAAAGGAAATGTACAGAGAGGAGTATGGAGAATATGGATACTAAAACTTAGAAAACTTATTATTACCATAATTTAAATTCATTTTTAGGGGAGCGGGATAAAACTCAAGTTACTTACAACAACAATTCAATATCGTCCAAAGGCGAAAGGTGCGATCCTCTTTTAGCACATCTGTCTTATGATATATTGTAAAAGTAACAGCCTATTGCACTTTGACGGTTTTTGTTAAACTGGAAGGTATCGGCGAAGCCCTGAACACGAAGAAGAGAAAAAACGAGTGGAGAGAAAAATTAAATGAGCGCATTTCAAGGGCGCGGGTTAAATATTACATAATTGTGCAATTCCTGAAGAGCAAATACATAGTCGTCCCAGATGTTTGTCTAATACGATATTACACTTTTTAATTTTTAATCGGAATTCCATGGGGAGACTGGTGGGTACAAAATTCGGCTAGCCACTCTAAAGGTATATCTCTCTTAAACAGTTGCGTGGAGGCAAAACCATCCGCTGACCAGCGCCTTGCAAAAGTTATCTGCCATCCATACCGTCCAATCGCCAGAAAGGTAGATAAAAACGTGATGAGGACTGAGGTTTGCAGGTCGATAGTGGGTGATGATCTGTTATTCGCTACACCGGCCGAGCAAGAATGGCGTGAGAATCTTTTCGTGACGTACACAATACGCTCACGAGTTGGACAAGTACCACGCATGCCCGAATCTCCGAGTCGACTGCTGACTAAGTTTTGTTGGCAGCTTATCGTACACATGTACTGCAGATTCTTTTTACCAAAATGTGACATGACGTCATCCAGACCTCGGGCTCAGCCTATTTGTAGAGATGCGTGCCGGGAATTTAAGAACCAGTGTCAGAGGGAATGGACTCACGCACAAAGGAAATTCAAGAGGGTGTCGTGGGCGGTGCAGAAACTTGCCTCTGGGATGGAGAGAAGTTCTTCGCTCATGTGGTGTAGGAACCTGCCCAGACGAAGAGGACCAGATATTCCAGAATGTTATTATCCTAAAATGTTGAAAGGTATTTCTTATTTATTCATTTATAAGCTGTATGTACTACTGGTTGTGATGAAGTTCAGCGAGTAAGTGATCTGGAAGTTAATCAACGGGGGAGATGCGCCGGTAATTTGTGTTCTTATTCAGAGAGTAACAGAATGAGATTTAGAAAAATAAAATAGGAAGAAAATGTCAATCAATATTATTTTCAGATTGTTATAGTTTTAGTTAACTGATGGTCCATTCGCTGAGCTCTTTTTCCCCTTAGTTTCAATTTGATTTTCTCGCTTCTCGTTTCAGAAAAGAAAGAAAACCCCCGACCGTTTACGGGTAAGTACACGGTGTGTGTCTAAATAACTCGAGCTCAATAGCATTTACAGAATGTGAAACGCTTTCTTAAATCCACATGATGTTCTAAACATCTAGGCCCATATGTTTAAATATTGGATACCGCTATCAACGGATAAATCGCCATCCAGCGGATACGTGTCTACGTACTGCGTTATTCACTTTGCTCGTTATCCACCCTTCGATAGATAGCAAGTGAGACTGAAGTCTTTGTCGAAAATATGCTTCCATAATTGGTGAAAAACCTTTTAGAAACTTTTTTTTGAAATTCTGAAAAACGTACCGTGGGGAATATTCAGAGAATGGCAATGACTTAAACCCATAATTCTTATTTGGCGATGTTCATCAAATCCCTTGTCCGTCACTATGCAATTATTTCGTAGGTTGCCAAAACACACACGTAGTACAAAGATGACCCTAGATAATAGCAGAGAACACGCCCCTTATCAGTCAGTCTTTGCTGTTTCATTGTATCGGCTTTGAGGTCGTTCTAAAGCTCAACCAGTTTCAAGCTAGTCAACCCCCTTCCCACCCACATTATCCTTAGCGGTTTAATTTATTGATCTCTAGCGCCAGCGTCTCTTTCTGCTCGTCAGTAAACTGCGCTGCCCAAACATTGTAATCTGTTTGATATCAATGCTGATTACCGCTAAAATGATGGAATACAAAAAAAAATACTTATGTACATACGTAAGACCTTGTTTACGGAGTAACACTAAACAGGTAGAAATTAATAATAATAATAATAATAGTAATAATTTATAGACTTATAAATAAGACCAATAAGCTATATACAAGGCGCAGCTAAGGAGTTGAACTTGCGGCTAGCGGGCTTGAACCCGGGACCAGCGGCCTAACCACTCGGTCACAGTGCCCCCTATTTGTAGCGGTTAGTTAAACAATTCCTCGAAATGGCAAGGCCACCCTCAGTAGCTTAAAGAAATTACAGATAACAAAAGAAAGCTTCTAACGAATTAATCGATATTTTAGACACTTGTTTCTATGATGACGGTCGGACATACAACGGCAGTGTGTCTGTAACACGGTCCGGTCACAAGTGCCAGTCCTGGAATTCCCAGTGTCCTCATCGGCACCACAGAACACCAGAAAATTATCCTGAACAGAATGGTGCTGGCAATGCATGTCGGAACCCTGGTGGTCAGGCCCCTCACGGTCCCTGGTGTTACACTACAAATGTAACGCAGAGATGGGAGTATTGCAATGTGATCAAGTGTGAAACACTAAAGGAAAGCAAAGGTATGCTTATTAAATATTATCTGAAGCTTACAAGACTCAAGTGTACCTTATATTTGAGACTTGCAACCAATCATAGCTCCTACTAGTAATTAAATGCTATATAACGTTCATTATGCGCTTCATGAATATGGCCGGATTAGTCCGATATCTGCGACAGGAGGTATTTCTTCCAAGAATTCCTATTCCCCGAGCGAAGCGATAAAAGATTAAAGAATTAATGTCAAATGCATTAGTATCTCCATCACGTTGCGCTGTTCGGTTAGTTGGTGCGATAAACTCTTAAACGTAGATAGTCCCGCTCAGTATCACACTAGCTCCAAACACTCCAACCGGCTACGCCTGGCGTTGATAAGCAAAAAAGTGACCAAGTTAAATATGAAAGTAATGAGTCAGTCTTCTCTCAGCCTATGTCTTTCATGGACCTTTAACGCAGCATCTTATGCCCATTTCTTTTCTATCTTTTCACAGGATGAGAAAGTGAAAGAAACGGCCACCAAACTGTCTCCTTCACTCACCCACCCACTCACCCTCTTTAAAGAAAATGTACATAGTGATCAGAAAACGTAATAGTAGCCTGCGTTGCTGGCGGTCTGCGGTTTTGGGAGCAGAGAGAAAAATGAAAGACCTTTCATTACTTTCTCCGCCGCCAAAACCGCAGACCGCCAGCAACGCAGGCTGCTAAAAGACTTGTATAGCAATAAAAGGAGATGTTTGACAATGGTTTTACCTCTTTCTCAACTGGCGCCGTGTTAAAGAAAAACTGTTGTTATGGTTTCATCAATTAATTCTTGACATGCACTGGCGTTATTCAGGTCTGTCGTGGCACACAAAGTGAACTTCATCGTGACGGAGAACTTGAGGAGGGGGAAGGGGAGGGGTGACTAAACGGTTTTGAGCCAGCCATTCAACCGACCATGGTTTTCTCCTTGGGTGATCTTGGCACTTGTTTCAACATAAATCTTTTGAATAAATCCATATGCCAGACGAAATTCCCTGAGATGAATGATTAACCACAATCTTTACAACTCCTTTTCTTACCTAAGGTGGTGAAGGGAAGGAATTTTATCTTTAAGAGACTTAGAGTAATTAGACCTTACCGCGAACTTTTCTAAAAGCGTGGAGACTACATAATATGATAGTGGCTAAAATATAGATTCATGAAGGAGGCAAAATTATAAAAGGAGGAACAAAGATTGTAAAGGACGGATTGCGACATCCCGAATGAAGATTCTGAATAAAATTCACGTCTCGAGGAAGGAAAAACAATTCTCGGAAACGTATGTATTTATTCACGAAAGCGTCTTTGTCTTCCCTCGCGACGTGAGCTTCGGATCCTTGTGCTTTGAATACACACGCCGGAATATCACGCTAAGAGCGTAACGTTTCACAGTGACACCCTTTTGTAAAATAACGCGCTAAGCCACTCATATATAAAAATATGGCGAGGAAAGATAACTTACCGTCGCAATATGTTCGTTAGGAAGAACGCTGAAGCGGTAAGTGAGTTCTGAGTTTAATTTGGTTCGAGCAAAAAAGAAATTGAAAGTTGCAGCAGTACTATAAAACCTCTCAGGCGAAGAGCTGAATCGGAACTTTCAGCTATTTGAAGGCGTGCTTCTGTTGTATAAGGACATAACTTTACTTTCATTGCATACTTCCCAGACGTTAGTCCGAAATCTACATTTTTACATCTTTTTGGAAAAATTTTCAACTTCAAGATGAGACTAACGTAAATAAACTTCTTGGAGTGGGGTAGAACGGTTTCAGACAATTCGGTTTGGTTTTGTTATCACATAGCGATTTATCATTCAGCGTGTCAGCGTGTTACGAAAGAAGATGAAAGAGAAGTAGCTAATAATAGAGTATGCTTACTTTCAGTCACAGCTTCCATCCGAAAACGTAACTTAATATTAGGAACATCAATGGAGAAAACACATTTTAGATAACTGGAAAAAGAGATGGCCAAATCGAGGTGAAAAATCAAGCTTATGCTTTTTCCTAGTAGCCTTCAAAAGATTTGAATGCAATTAAAACAATTAAATTATTTTATCGCTACAAATTCCCATAATTAGATAAATTTATAAGCTCCGGTTTCCACCGCAAATCCGAAACTTTACGGAAGGGTGTGACGCGAAGAGGTCACGAAATTCGTGCTTGATAACTAATAGTGTTGTTGGATTCTGCCGGAGTTGAACAAAATGACCGATAGCCGATTCAGAAGGCTGCTGTTGTGTTTTATGACCATATGGTCTGTGGCGTTAGGACAAACAGGCAACTATTCTGTGGTCAGAGGTAAGGGCTAGAGGGAGTTATTCGACATACTTTAAAGCTTCTCAAAGTCAAATTTCACTGGGAGTACAAATTTGTTTATTCGAATTTTCTGATTCCGACTATCGGCCAATGGACCGTTTGCTAAGGAAATTTTGATCATTGGCTCACTTGATCTCTATGGCGAGTTTTCAGTTGGAACAACAGGGAGCCACGACAGTTAGTTCCATGCATTTTACAAGCGTTTTTTCGTATGAAGACGACTCCATGTCAAATCTATTCGTGTTCCTTTCCAACTTCCGGTGTTTGATGTTGGCCTGCTTGTTGTCAATCTCTTATACATTGTACGCCCTTAAATAATCTGTAAATTGGATTTTTGTTCTCTAAATTTTCAAAGTACCAAAACCTGAATACTGTTACTGCTCTTTTCAAACTTTCACCGAAAAAACGCTGATCGGCGAAGTACAGACACTGATTATCAAAACATTCATTAATGTCTGTCTGGCAGGAAAAAAGAAGGCTTCAATTCAGAAGTAGACTTTAAACAGCTTTTCGACTTAAGGTGGTATTATAGTCGATCAAGAGCCACAACTGTACTGAAAACGAATGTTTGGCAGACATCACAATCCCCACTTCGCCAGAATATATGCTTTTCTTATTTGATTAACTGATACTACTAGCTTTGAATGACTTACTTTCATTAAGTATCAGGTCAAACATCTTCAATTTGGGGTCAAAATTCTAGAACAGTTCTTTTTTTTCATCATTTGTTAAGACTTTAAGGCATTTCATTGTTGAATAAATTCACGAAGCATCTCGCCACTGGAATAAATGCTTCATTGATACTAGGATCAGGCTCGAACGAACATTACGGGACCGCATGGATTAAAGTTACCACGTAGACGTGTAATACAGTCGATATCATACCTTAATATTACATTACGCATCCCTGATGTGCACGATTTGAAGCGCGACTCATTGAGAGGTTTCTGATTACTGTCGAGCTTCACCAGGGAGATTCTAAAATCGTCTTTACCTCAGATGGTGCCTTGCGTAGTCGCAAAGCGATGCACCTCGTCCTAACTGCCTTGTCCTATTGGAGACCTCTAATAATATATCTTTCTGGCCCCTTCCCCCAACCCATCTCTCCAGTAAGACATCCTCTCCCCACAATTTCTTCTAGAATGTATCTCTTTTATGTATTTAGATCACGAAGGAAACGAAGAATTCATAACCGTGAATAAAACAGGGTACGTAAGACTTAGGTTGTGTTCTATTGGGATAAACCCTTTAACCACTTCCACCCACACATCAGTATGCATATGTTCCATACTGATCTCCATAGCAAGGTGCTATGGAGAGGAAAATTTGTTTAATATCAAGAGCTTTTATAGTTTGAGATCATTTCCTCTATTCCCCTTAACTTAAAGTTCTATTCAGGGGGAAATTGTAAAGAGAAATTAGATGCTAATCACTCTTAGGGGTCAAAGGGTTAAACTGCCTCTGGATCAAGTTGAGGCGGTTGTAGTCTCCCGACACAACACTCAAATAACCCTTTTGGTTGAAACGCAGAAACTCCTGAGAATATCTATCACCGGATTTTTCCGCAAAAACTCGTGGAAGGATGACATTATGGCGGCTAATTCCAATCTTGTGGCGCAATTCCTTCGCTTTTTCGCCTTTTTTTCACTCCTAAGACTTCTTTTACTCCTTGCCTGTCCATGTCCAGGTGGTATCGAAATATCACGAATAACGCGTCATATTGGTTTTGTTTATAACATGTGTCAAGGCCGAAAACTGAGAAGTATTTTGAGGGAGTCGCATTTTCTAAGGGGAAAATGGGAAGGGAACCAATCGTCGTCAACAGAGAAAAAAGGGAGGGGAGACTGCGAATTAACTGCCAACGAGGGGGGATAATGTAGAGCCCTACGGGATGGGGGGGATCCGTTGAATTTTGTCGTACCACAACCAAAATCCTACGACCCCCTCCCCCCAGTTAATCAATACTGACAGAACAGCTTTTTAATTTTTTAAATATTTCTGTTTTAGCAATATCTCATGTGTTTCTGCTCAACCCATTCCTAAATCACAAGCCTACTGTAAGCCGTATCGTTACAAAGGAAGTAGTGGTGTTTGCGCGAGTATTGTCAAAGATCGCAATGTTTATGGCTCATCATCGCATCAAAGGAAGATGGAAAGTAGTCTGTATAACTTCAGAATGGCAAAGGCTTACATTCTTTCCAAAGGGGATATCTCTGATAGGTGCCTTCGCACTGTGGATCTGGTTTACTGCAACCACTACTTTCCAAAGTGTGACGACACGTCATCAAAGATTCTTCCAGTTCCAGTCTGTAGGGAGGCCTGCGATGTTATGGTACAGAGGCATTGCAAAGAAGAGTATCGTCGCGCTAAGGAAATTAACAAGGCTCTACAGGACTCCCCTGCACTCGGGCTTGGATGGAGTTTTGAATTGCTTAACTGCTCAGAGTTCCCTTTGAGAAACGGTGGTTCTATTCCAGAGTGTCATTATCCTGAGGAACTCGAAGGTATTTTGCTCTGCGTGTTTGATATCTGTCAACCAAATTGCACCTGTAATTGAAACAGTTTGCAATAAAATATGGTGAGAGAGGTAACAGGTTGGGTAGACGAGTTAGGTTGAAAGTTGTAGTGTGAGAAAGTATTATGTAAAATTAAAAAGCTTTGAGGCAAGAAGCGGGAGTCGATACGGCATAAAAAGGAACTCAAAACTGGAAAAGTCTTTTGCTTGTTACACTTGGCGTTTGTAGATCATGAGCACGAGGTGCTACCAAATCAGAGCGGGTTTTCTTTGTGGTAACTTAGAGTCTACGTAAAAGGAAAAAACGAGAAAAGCTGCTGCAAGTTTAAGGTTTTTTAATGAATGATATGTACAAGCCTTTGCAACCACCTGTTTGAGAACAGAAGCTAGACCACTGTTTTATCAGCTTTTTATCCTGGCGTCACTCAGGTGATTTGTAAAAGAAGGACTCAAAATAAACTGATTTCGTCCTTTCTGCCACCCAGTTCATGCCATGTGATGATTCCTCTTGGAGATTAGAGTTCTTCCACTTGTACAAACTCAAATGCAATCAGCTACGTGTGACGGATTGTCCCGTTATATTCTTTAAAACGAATTATCACCGATCTAAATTGGGTGAATTCACCGATTTCTGGTTATACCCAGAACCCTCCGCGAGATGTTTACTCCCTTTAATTGATCTTGTGTCAATTTCTCAATTTAGAAAAAAACGCGTTGGAAGGAGACTTCAGTGGTAAGTAAGCACTTCCCTAAAAGCTTATTGTTGAGCGAAAGCTTTTTCGTAACAAGACCTTCATATTTATAATCTATTTGAACAGATAGGTGTTTCTATGGCGACGGTCAATTATACCGTGGAAATGTATCTGTGACACAGTCCGGTTACAAGTGTCAGTCGTGGACTTCCCAGTGTCCTCATCGGCACCACAGAACACCAGAAATTTTCCCCGAACTAAGTAACACCGGCAATGCATGCCGGAACCCCGGAGGACAGGCCCCTCTCGGTCCTTGGTGCTACACCACTAATTCTACAGTTCGTTGGGAATACTGCAATATCTCAACTTGTGCTCCAGGTAAGATTACTTCGTTTGCTTCAAGAAGATTGTTTGCTGAAATGGTATAACACTACATAGGACTAGGGTTAACGCGCCCAAAGAATGTTGGGACAGCAAGCCCGGTTGCCTTGTTGCTACCTAATCTAGCTATGTAACAAACTGCGTTTGTCCTAGGTTGTGGCATACTAAAGTCAGCAAAGTGAGGCTTTCATTTCGTGAAATTTCCACCTTTATTTGCGTTTACAACATTATCAATAATTTTAAAGAAGTACTAATTACTGCAATACTTAAATTCGGCACATTTGGTTCTTAATGATTCTGAAATTCTTAATTTCTGATTCTGAATGTTTTCTTATCCCACGGAACTAATTTTCATCAAATGATAAAGGGGGACAGTTTCTGAAGAAACTATGGTGCTGCGTCGGTGGGAGAGTATAACAGGGTAATAGTGTAGTTCCATTTTCTGCATAAAAACGCACACAAAACCCACAATTCCTCCATTCGCTCTAACGAAGGGCTAACGCTCGAAACGTTCGCTTTTAAACTCTTTACATTATAAACTCAGTTGATAGTGCCAAATTACCCTAGTTTTTTATCAGGTGGGTACTAGTTGCTGAGTTGTCTCTGAATTTGAGCAGAATCGATTATTTACCTAGGACTTATTTTGATTATTATCAATAGTGTATCTTCATTTTCCTATCCCTCTTTATAATGCTACAGAAGACGCAACACTGTCCAACTGGAGTCCTTTCACCAACTGTTCAGTATCTTGCGGGAACGGCTGGATCACACGCACGCGCACTTGTACCAGACCACGCCTTGGCGGGAAAAATTGCTCCTCTCTCGGTGCACTCGTTGAACGGCAACCATGCAGCCTTCAAAATTGTTCCGGTAACTAAAAAACCATAATTCTCTGCTTCTGCCTCTTTACGATATAAAGATTGATAAACTCCACCCTGATCTGATACTGAAACGTTGAAATAATACAATGAACCTGTACATTATGTTTGTACTTCCGTGCTTGATCAGGCTTTTGGGTCACGCAAAAAAGTTTTACCGGATGATTGAAATAAAACGAATTTATGTTATATGAAAATCTAATTCCCAAATAAGGGTCAACGGGATGGATCAATAGATATGCAATCAGAGGCCTGTTATCTATTTATCACTTCCTTGGAGACTGAAGTTCATTCTTAATACACTTCCATTTAAATAAATGAACACAAGAATATTGATTTTTCTCAACTACTGTAACTTGTTCATTATAATTAAATTTAGAGAATGTCGATAACATCGAGGAAGTGCCAGTGGATAAAAAGACATTAGGTCAGTACTTTACAATATCTGTACTTCCAAGCGTGAGAATGAGAGTTGAATATTTTTTAATGTTAATATTCGTGGGTTCAATCTGGACTCACGTGAATTCAAATGCTATTTCTTGACAAGTGATAGCAAGGTGGTTCAGTCGGGATCTCGATCGAACGTTGGGACCCAGGTTAGCCTCGACAGTGTTTGATTTCTTCTGATTGGGTGAGGAGGTGAAGAATAAGGCCAATGAAAGAGCGACTTGAAAAAAACAAAAGCAATAACGAATCCCAAGTTGCTTTGACATTCAATTGATACTTGGGCAACTGGACCATGTGACCGAGGACGAGTTACCACGTACAAATCTATAAACAAATAATAACCACAAACCACAGTGTTTTATTCCTCAAAAAACATAGCACTCTCTTTCCGGGGCGGCAAGAGGTATAAAGAACCTTAGGAAAAACTCGTTGTGGCTGCTTTTTTCAATACTATTAATGCTACTGAATGTCTCACTATTTCTATATCATTTCAGGGCTGAACTTTACGTGGATCATCATACTCTCAACCATTGGATCAGTCCTATTCTTGGTCAGCATAATTCTGGTCGTTACGTTGGTCAAGAAGCGTAGTAAGTGAAGCTGAATATTTCCTCGTCAATTTGAGGGTTTTTTTTTGCCAATTCCATACTGATTTGATTTAAAACCTTTTTTTATCAGCAGGTCGTAAGCCAAATAACCCTAACATCCAAGATGAAGAGGAGATAACTCCTTATGCAACGGTTCGCTTCAATGAAGTTTTTCCAGCAAATGCGACAAGTAATTACTATCCCATTCCTGGTATGTATGACAATCCACTGAAAGCTTTGCCTCCTCACCCATGGATAAAAACAGAATCAAAAGCCGCTAATAAGCAAGAGATACGAAGATCGCCATACGGAAATCTCGACCACCTGGGGAGGCAAGCAGTCAATCCTCTCCAGTACCTCTTTTATCAGCCTCGTTATGAAAATGAATTAGCTGATAATACAACCCGAGATGTGATTTATATAAGGCCTGGGTACGACAAGTTGATGTCCACCACAAGGAAAAAGAGGCGGGAAATTTATAGAGGTGAGGGTACGCGCTTGGCATGCGAGAAAGCAGACATGTCTGTATATGATTCTCTCATCCGCGAAATCAACCTCAAGTGTAAAAGTCGGAGAGAAGATTTGACTGACTCAGATGAAGATGGTGAAAGGAATATCCGTGTCATTATGGAAGAGCCCTCTGGCGACGAAAGGAGCCCAACTTGCTCAACAGATGAAGGTGAAAATACAAGAGACTCGACGAACTTATCTAACAATGGTTATAAGGTTGACCTCGAGAATGGTTGCATTGTAAATGACTGGAATACATCCGAGGGGGAAAATGAGGAACAAAATCTAACTTTAACGGAAAGAAATGATAATTTGTCACCGCGTTCCCAAGCTGCCTTAAAAATGGAAGATAAAAGAGGTTTATTTCAGTTTTATAGCGCCA